CCAGAATACCCCAAGCTCTTGGACACCGAGAACTTCGATCTAGCTGGCATGGGATGCTTGCCAGCACTTGTTGAACCCGTCTTTGTACGCCCAGAAGGATTCCGGGAGCAACGCCTGAAACTCCTCAATCAAGAGCTCTTGCTTTCAACCGAAACGGGCTTTCTCTTCTCAGGCTTCTTCTTCTTGCTCTTGGCCTCGGCACTGGCCTTCGCCTTGGTGTGGGTCTTGCGGATCTGAGCGCAAACTGACGCTGCATTGGTCTTCGCTAGCTCAGCATCCTCCTTGGAGAAAACATCTCGAACCTCCTCGGATGTCAAAATCTCCAGCAGCTCTTCATCATGTGTACCTATCACGCAGGTTGGACTCCATGATGTCTGCCACCGCTTCAGACGTCTGGTCAGGCAAGGATTTCTCGACGCAAGTGTGACCTCCGACGACCCTCGAACTTCTTCTTGCCACTCTGCCTTCATAGAGCTGGGTGGAGAGCAAAAACAAAATCTTGGCAACCACGAACCCGATCTGAAGCTTGGGAGGTAAACAAAGAGGTAGGTAGGGCAGAAGAATGGGGCCCAAAACCAAGTCTCGCTTGTTGCACGTCAAACAACGAACGAACCACCTTCACCCTCATCCCCCATTCAATCACCATTTTTGCACATCTTCACTCCATAGAACACACATCTTCATCCATCGTGGTAAGATCAAAGCCAATCTGGGTCCTCTAGGGTCTACGAGGCCACCTTCGAAAGCAAGTGCTTGCAAACGCTTTCAGGATGGTTTAATGGTCCTGGCTTGGCCAGTTTCCCATCGCTCTTGGCTGGTTCCATATGATATACATATATACATGTTTGTTTTTAATAGGGGTGGTTTGTCGCTTATTACTGATTACTAGCTAGTACAAGCAATTACATTAAAAGTCCTAAAAAGAGAAAGTTAAACACAAATACAATATTTGACGGTTACCAAAACCCTTCCACCCCCTAAACCCTCCTATTTGAAATATGTTTCTTTCCCGATGAAGATCTCATAGGTTTGACCAATTCTTCTAGCCGACCTGGCTTGGTGGACAGTAACCGCAGTGACTCTCAAACGCTCACACCGTCAGGCCTGAGCATTAACCTGCCGGGGCGATAGGACAACACATAGGTGCTGAGGATCGAAGCGATCCGATGGTTTGACGACCAAATCGGGTCCGGGAGGGTAAGTGACATCACAAACATCTTGGCCACCACTTGAAAGACCCTCAACACAGACAAGAAGCGGGCGGTCAAGAGTCGAAGGCTCTTAGGCTCCTATATAGCGACCCCGGACCCTTTGCAACACCACTCCTACTGGAATTTCCATCCGCATCAAGGCATCGCAGCATCACGCCGAAAAAACCGCCTGAGAGCACCAGATATAGTCTGGTCAGGTCAAACGCACCAAATCCCTTCGCCAGTGAGGCAGGGCCCGGCAGAAGCTCAGTGGGCCACAGGTGTTGAGGAAGACATCGTTTGTTGCAGGAGGTCCATGTTTCATTTTATTTGGAAACCATTCAATTTGCGTATCATGTTGTCACCCAGCAAAAATGTGAAGGGTACCCAGCTCACTGACAGACTCTCGCAGGCAGTTGCCCAAAGGACATGGGTGGTTTCAGGACTTGGAAAGGCCCAACGAGAACGACGTAAAACGGATGTACTTCACCTTCGTGACGTGCAAAAAAGGCCCAATGCCCCTGAGTGCTCCAGGACTGAAATGAACGCTCTGGAACCGCTTCGGTTCTTGTGTGGGGTTGCCCCAGCATACACCCTCACCGGCCCTCCAGCGAAGCGGATCCAGCGGCTCGACAGCCTCGAAGATGTCAGACTGCATCCTTAGCAGTCAGCAGTCGAACGGCAAGCTGGACCGCGGTGACCGGAAATCGAAGCCACACAACCTCACCCTTGCTCTTTTGCAGAGCACACCAGGTTGGGAAGAGTCTCTGGATTCCGCGCGGGCACTCCGTGCATCACACTCACAGAAGGTCCTATACCAGGGGCAGTTCATGGATACCTCTTGGCCATGTCAACCTCTAAGGAACTAAGTTAATAGACACCCCTTAACCGTGGAGCAAGCCACACAAGTGGAGTTCATCCCCTGCTTGTAGAGGATGATGGTCTTCCCAAGCACCTGCCATCCACTTCCACGTTCGACGCCCTTCAACGATTGAAATGAGCCACTGAATGTGACCTGGTGCCATGCACCCAGATGATCCAATCTTCCTTGAGTGGCTGCATTCAGGCGCAGCCCTCCTTCCCAATCCCTCAAAAAACCTCGTCTTTCCATGCCTCAAAATGGCTCAAAATCTGAGCGCAAGGGCAGCTACTAGGATAGCAGTAGCAGCTTTGGCAGGCAGCAGCAGCAGCAGCAGCAGGAGGAGTAGTAGTAGTAGTAGTAACTAGTAGTAGGTGATGTCATATGTAGTAGTCGTAGTAGTAGCAGCAGGAGTAGTAGTAGTAGTAGTAGCAGCAGTAGTAGTAGTAGGAGTAGTAGAGTAGTACAGTAGTAGAGTAGTAGAGTAGTACAGTAGTAGTAGTAGTAGTAGTAGTAGTAGTAGTAGTAGTAGTAGTAG